TTATAATTATTAGTTATAAAATGGTCAACAGGCAATATTATCGCTTATCGCAATAATTTGTGAGACAATTAATCGCCCAGCAAAATTTGTTATCGTGACAGGCCTACGCCAAAGTTGAATGTTTGGCGACGGAGAGAGGGAGAAAGTAACTCAACACGCCACAGACCATACACCGCCCCTTTCAGCACTGCTCTGGTAATACCCTATACCAGTGGTTCCTAAACTTTTCAGCTTTTGACCCACAAAATACCAGCAGCAGAGACCTGTGCCCCCGAATGTTGTCTGTTGGTAAACATTTTCACGTCAAATAAACAAGAGCATAGTGCCATTATTTATTATGCTATTTTTGTCCATTTTAAGTACATTAACCTTATTATTTTGTAACAACAAAGGCAAAAAAAGAATGTTTTTAGTTGTATTTTTTTAGTGTAATTCAGAAAATATTTTCAGGACCCCCAGCTTGATGTTTGAGGACCCCACTGTGGGTTCCAACCCCAACTTTAGGGACCACTGCCCTATACCATGGTATTACCTAGATATGTCTGTATGAAAAAGATCAATACTGCCCAACCCTACCATAACATGATGTTACCACCACCGTGCTTGACAGTTGGTATAATGTTATAATTGAAAACCTCACCTTGACCCCCTCCAAAAATACATCTCGTCATTTGAGGCCAAAAAGATCAATCTTTGATGATTCCTTACAAATGGCTCCATTCCCAACTTGTATAAATCTACAGTTCTTCCTTAGCCTCTCTCATTGTTTTGAGTTTTAGTGAATCAAAGAACCAGTCAGCAGCAGCCACTCATGACTGATAATGAGAAGGTTAGGTTTTTGTCAAGTAATGAATCTTAAAAGAAAGTGTCCAAATTCAGGGGCTTCATCTTTCGATGACTGAATTTGAAGGCCGATTACATGAAGTGGCACTCTGGTTTATTACGTGTGTGTTCCACCCTCAGGTGTTCTGAATATCCTGGGGCTGCCTGTGACCCAGTGTCCTCTGGGTCTGAGTGAGGAGGGTCTGCCTCTAGGTGTGCAGGTCGTCGCAGGAAAGCTTCAGGACCACCTGACCCTCGCCATGGCCATCTACTTGGAGAAGGCATTCGGAGGTTGGAGGGAACCTGGAGCAAACTAAACACACACACAAACACACACAGCCGTTACCAAAAGCCCAGACTGTTGGGTGGGGGTCGCGGTGTTTCTGCCCCACTGCCTGCAGTACAAACACAGAGGCACAGTCCGAGAGATGAATGTTTCAGATTTTCTTTTTGCACTATTATGAACTCTCATTCTGATGAGATAATTCCATCTTTTACAGGTTAGACAGCTTTTCAAAAACTGAAAGTTGAGCTGGAAATCACATTTTCAGAGCAGAGTTCAGCAGCTTGAGCATTTGTCGTATTCACATAAATCCTCCTACGTTTAAGATAAAAAGTGTTTGTGCTCCAGCAACAGCTGTACCATTTAGAGCTAACAAAAATATGGACACACATTAAACCTATAACTGACCAAAGGACTTTACGGAGATTAAGTGAGGAAGAAGAGAATGAATCAAGAAGATAGATGTGTTCTAATTATTACACATTAGAARTTTAAAAGACAAGACTTACCTGTCATTTCAACAATACAAATAGACAAAATAAATCTAAACATCATGATAATCTAAATGTTGTATTACGGTGGCTCGGCAGTTCAGGTGCCTGTTTTATGTTTCAACTTGTTTTAATTAATAAAAAAAGTCTTGACTTTTATTCTCTCTGGTCTTGAGCTTTTTTTAGCAGGTGTTTCATACAAMAAATCACAAATCTTAGATAACATCAGCTGATTGATAGGCACACAAATCTTAGCTATCAAAGCTACTTGTCACTCCATAACTAGCAGCAGTGACATTGCAGACAGAGGAGGGCCAGATCTGGTTATGATGGCACTGTTTTTAGGATGGCATGCCACAACTGGCCCAGCTGTGGTTTGGTTTATATGGCCCTAATCTGTCAGTGCTACAAATGGTACAGTTGTGCCTTGGTTAAGTGGAGCTGGGCCATACATGGACCACCTCTGGGAAATCACATCTGACCCACCTAATCGTTGCTGTGTGGGGTAGGAGAATTGAAGGCAGTTGTTACAACTCAGTGTGTGAAAAAAAGAAAAAGAAAAATAACTTTATGGTGACMATGTCCATTTTTAACAAAATTAATGTCAAAATGACTCTTCTTTCCACAGATTTACACTGCRTCCGCTCTGTGCAGTAAAAACAAACCCTTCATTGTTCTTTATTTCAGTCCCTTCTTTTGGAGAGGGATAAATGTAAATCAGACAGAAAGATCCAAACAAAACTACGAAGCATTCATGGCCCTTGTGTTTTTTTATTATAATTTTGGTCACTGCTAATGACAGACATTGCAGACCTCATATTTAATCACAAAACTTTTTCCTTTTTTTTTTTTAGTTTTGAAGGGCCAAAGCTGAAAACATCATACAGAAAGATAGTCATTCTTCTCTCTCTGGACCTTCTTGCACCACGGCACAAATGCTTGAAGGTCCCCGACAGTAAAGAGAGCTGTCTGCTCCCTCCTGAAACAGTCTCAGGATTCAAAAGCAGATTTTTTTAAAAAAAGAAAGAAAAACAAAGTGTAAGAGGAAAGAAACAAAACAAAAATAAGTTCTCCATTTTGGCGGTGTGGTAAAAGGGAGGATCTTTCTCTCCTTAACGTCTCAGAGCTCGATTTGGCCCATGTTTTTTGTGTGTCGGTGTATAAACGTGTCCATGAAGTGTACGCAGACGCGTTCGTAGTGAGCCGAGCCCCTCAGGAAACATTTGTGATGGGTTTGTACTTCTTCAGGCGGGTCCACTGTCCTGTCGAATAGTTCATTTCGAAGACTGTGTCCACCAGCATGGTGGTACTGCCGGTGCCGTCGGCTTTGGGCAGAACCTCTGTGTGCTCGCTCAGCTTGATCTGAATGATGTCACCCTGCTCTGGACACGGGTTCTCTGTAGGACGGGAAGCAAAATGGTTACATGTAGATGTAACAAAAACAACCATCAAATGGAATTACATGGAAGTGAAGTTCTGACAGGCTGACGTTTCTTATAATTTTTGGTTTGCACTTTAGGAGTTCTGAAGAATTCTTATTATTTTTTATTAATACATTAAAAAAGCAGAACAGCTAATATTTTTTATGTTAAAATAATTGTGCAAAACGTGCCTTTAGTGAGAGCTACAGAGGAAACTACGGCCCTTTTCTTTTCATTGAAACCAATGTGAAAAGACTTAAAGCTGCTTCAACAACACTGTCCATGAAAATAAACCAACTATTATAACATTAATTATTTGATCTGTTGAAAACGTCCATTTAATTCTTTATCGTTAGATTGGACGGATTTAATGAGATCGCAACAAAAAACTCCCCAGATTTTTTCCCCCTCATTTTTCAGATGACAAATCTTTCCTGGCCACCTTCAAAATGCCGGATGTGGTAATGGAGAAAACTGTTCGATTTTTACTTTAGTTGTATTATACACATCAGTATGGTAATCAGCCAATCAAGGGCTGCCAACTCAACAATTTTGTGCACAATTCACGAGGAAATGTTTGTGACAATGACAGTGGATCAGTTTCTGAAATACTCCAACCAGCCTGACTGGCACCAACAACCACACATTGTTCGATGTTTCTTCTTTGTTCTGATGCTCGGTTTGAACTTCAGCTAATTGTCTTCATCGTGTCTAGATGTCTGAACACATTAAATTGCCTGTGACACCAAATCTTTGTAATACATATGAATTCATTTTTAGAAAGAGGACATTGATAAAATAATGCAAAAGGAATTTCATGTCGCTGAGATGAACAGTTGTTGAGATATTTTCCTGTGAAGTAACAGGAAGTGATGTCAAAGGGGAATGTCTGCATGTGAACAGAGCATCGCTACAACAGCTGATAACTCAGACTGTAGAGAAGAATCTGATGTTTCTTTAGATTATTTTGAGTCAATATCAGAGAGATGAAGAGTCAGAGTTCAGATAAGATTGTTTCAATAAACAAAGACCAGAGAGTTTTCTTTGTTGAAGAGTTCCCCTTTGATGTCACTTCCTGTTTCACTTTGGCTGAGCTAAGTTCAAAAGAAAATATGCCAGTTATAGGACAAAATGGGTTAAATCGTGTATTATTCCAACTCTCTTAATATAAAGATGTTTTCTTTGACTTTTTGTATTTGAAGAATATGCATGTCACAGACACTTTAAGATACTGACATTGGATTGGCTGATGAGTGGTTTGTGTTAACAAGTGACTGAAGAGGTGTACTTAAAGTGTCTGGTTTCTGATCTTTGTTACTTATGACTCTTTGTAGGGTTCATTAGTTTAGATGTTATGTATTACACTGTAACAGCTCATTCGTTAATAACAGATTAAACAATGAGTTGTGTTTTTACACCTAAGTGACACTCAGGGCGTCATTGAGGGAAACATTAATGAAACAACAGTTTTCCTCTCTGATCACACAGCTGGAACTTCTCGTACCTCTGGATCCGGCCATGAACCCCAGGATGAGAGCCTTCTCTGGTCTGGTGACCTTGTTGGCGGTCTTGAACATCTCCTGGGCCGCGTACATCTGGTCTCTCTGAGGAGCGAACAGCGTGCGACACATTTAGTATCAAGAAGATGAAGATTCAAAAACGAGCCTTTGAAGAAATCAGATTTTCCGTCGTACCGTGAGCGAGAGGTTCTTTTTGGGCTGTGGCTGCTGTGGTGTAGGCGCTGGTGCCGGGGTGGGGGTCTGTGGGGTGCTGGGAGGCTGAGTGGGGGTCTCTGGTTGGCTGGCGGTGGCGGCTGCCGGGGGCCCGTTGCTGGCCGGGGTGGAGGCTGGCGTACTGGGGGATGTGGGGGTTGCGGGGTTTGCCGCGGTGCTGGCGTTGTACATGGGCGTCCTCTGTTTGTACTGGTTTGGTAAAGTTGAGCCGGCGCCGGGGGGTGCCGCGGTGGACTCCTCTGGCTGGCGAGCCGCCTGCAGCGCGTCCCGCCCTGAACCGCCGGCGTTTGCTGGGGAGGAGGTGGAGAAAAACAAAGGAATCAACATAATTTCTGATGCCATTCTTTAAAGGGATCCATGATTAGTTGTAACATTAGACTTTATTTAATAAATATTTATTTTAACTGTAAAATAAAGACTGTAAAAATACTGTAGGCTGTTTAGTTTTTATCATTTTTAAACTATATTACACAGACGAGGCCATTTTATTTACACACAAAGCATTCTGGGTAAATGATGACATGGATAGGTCCTCAGTGCGAGGCTGCTAGCGAGCTATATCCACCCTGAAGGTTAATCTTGGACAATATCTGATGATCAACTCTTTTAAATAAAACCAGAGAGCGTTGACAGAGAGGAGAAGGTAGAAATGACTCAGCCTGGAACTGAAAATATGGATGGAGGACAACAGAGCTGCTTCATAGAAGAAGAAACTCAGCTTAGCCTGTTAGCCTTCGCGCTAGCCCTGACACTTATCACCATGCATATGTATTAGTTCAGCGCTACACATTCTCCTCTCGTCACTGAGGTCCTCCAGCCACATGACAGAGATGGGAATGCAAAAATGACTCAGCTGCAACTGAAAATATGGATGGAGGACCTCAGTTTAGCTTGTTTGACATGCTAGCACCAAGCTAATACATTCGGCAGGCAATACAGCGTCGGCGCTAGCATGAAGGCTAACAGACTAAGCTGAGGTTCTTCTTCCATGAAGCAGCTCTGTTGTCCTCCATCTATATTTTCAGTTACAGGCTGAGTCATTTCTACCTTCTCCTCTCTGTCAACGCTCTCTGGTTTCATTTAAAAGAGTCGATCATCAGATATTGTCCAAGATTAACCTTCAGGGTGGATATAGCTCGCTCACACCGATGACCTATCCATGTCATCATTTACCCAGAATGCTTTGTGTGTAAATAAAATGGGCCCCATCCGTGTTAAAAAATAAAATTCAAAAAATTTACAAAACTTAACAGCCTACAGTATTTTTACAGTCTTTATTTTACAGTTAAAATAAATGTTTATCAAATAAAGTCTAATKTTACAACTAATCAGAGACCCCTTTAAATTCAAGTCCAGGCCTGCGAGTGGCTTCACTCACCTGGCTGTGTCTCGGAGCTGGGAATGTAAGATGAGGAGGGAACCATGCTGGGCGTAGCTGGAAGGTAGCTGGTCGATGGCAGAGGATTCTCGTTGAGCGCCCCCAGTTTCTGAAGRACAAACAAAAAAAAAAAACAAGTGTTTGATAAAGGTTCTTTTGCAAGAAAGAAAATCAGACAGAGGAGAGAGATTCTGAGATAAAACTGGAGACTCGTCTGAGTACCTGTGCAGAGACGAGACCGGCAGCGTAGTCTGGTGTGGCGTTCTCCACCACCGCTGCTGCTGCCGCCTCTTCTTTAGCTGCCTTGTCTGCAACTTCTGTTTCTGTGCACACACACACAAAAAACCTTAAGTTTACATATTACACATCTCTGAACTAATAAATGTCATTTATACACATTTTTACCCAAAGTCTTTCTTCTCCTTTTGGCCTCTCTTCCAGCTCCAACCGCATCCAACTCTGAAATATCTAAAAGCTGAAAAATAATTTAAAAAAATATTTAAAATCTTTCCAATCTCCTTTGAGCAGTAGAGCCTCGCATACAATAGAACAAACCTTAGCGCCTCTCTCCTTCCGCAGGGGTGTTCGTGGGGGAGCGATGGGGGTCCGGTTACTGGGGGGGCTGAATAAACTGGGAGCTGTGGGGCTGCGGAACGGAGCTTTAGGAATCCCTTTGAGGGGAGCTGAAACAAACGTGCACAAATCAGTAACGACGAAAGGAGTCAAGTATTCGAACTTATCGTGAAATTTGAAGATTTGACCTGGTTTAGGATCATTTTTATAAATCTGTGGGGGTCTGTAACTCACTTGTCGTGTCCATCTTTTTGACCAATCCTCTGCCTTTGGCGTGGAAAGGCGTAGCCGTCTTTTTGAGCTGCTGAGCCGTCTCTGTTGCTACATTAGAAGTGGAGAAAAACAAACTTAAAGCAAAAAAAAGTTTTTCTTTTGTGTGTAAAGCCACTGATATTTATGTAACTTACATTTCTGTAGCAGTTCTGCTCGCAGCGTTGCGCTCTTGGGCTTCCTCTTGAGCTGGAAATGTTTAACGGGGGGTGTGAGGGGTCCCACTAGAGTGGTCAGTGCACTCTTGTTCAGATACTGACATTCCAAAGGCAGCATGGCAGATGCCTCGCACTCACTCACTGAGGAGGAGGAGGAGAGGRAGAGATCAATAACAAGACAGCATAACTAATCTGCTATCATTTGGAAGTGCTAAACAGAACATTTTATTAATACAATGATGTGAAACTAAGTTTGCTGTTTCTGATTTTGATCAACTTTTCTAAACTTTGGTGTAAATTTGCTCTTGATTAATCTTTGCTTTCATCTCAAAGGGTTTAATTTGCATAGATGATATCAAAACGATGATCAAAGAAAAGAAACACACAACCCTAACCTTTCTCCCTGAGCTCTCCGAGAATATCCTGCACGTTTGGATTCTGCTCCTCCAGGTCCAGATTCAAGGAGCCGGTGTCTGGGAAGGACTTGAGGATATCTGCAACCATCAGCACCCAGGGTTCTGAATCCACCGTAGCCAGCTGGATTATCTCCGACAGGGCCTCCTTCATCTGTGTAGAGACAGAGCAAGCATTAGTGGAAAAGCCAACACACATTTACAGCAACGGTCGGAATTCACTTACAGTGCAAAGGATTGAGGTAAATCTTTACTCAGATTAGTCCTGTCTTGTTTGCATGAACGATTATGTATGTTCTGCATTCATCTCCACATTTTCACAACCAKAATCTTTGTCAGCAACAATCATAACAAAATTTAAGGTGCAATTCTCTAGTGTGAATTATAAAAACACTAAGATATAAAATGTATAGTGAAAATAGAGTAAAGATTACAATTTATGTGTACACACTTCTACTTCTACAACTAACTAGGATAAAATAGATTGAAATCAAGTCAGGTTTATTAAAATAACCATAAATCATAAAAACCCGAGACTTAAAATTTACTTTGAATATTTTTTGGTTCAATATATCAATAACCACAGTATGCATCCATAACACTATAATTAAGAATAAACGTCTGGGGAAAAAGTGCCTAACTTCCCTATAACATAAAAAATGCTTTAATAGCATGTATTCAGTATGGTATATAATAAACCCATCACCTACAAAATTTATTTGTATCATGGATCATTCTGGACATCAGATTGACCACAATACAAAAACAAAAATGACTGTAAAAGAAGAGTTCAGCACAAGGTCTGATGTCAAAACTTTTACCGGACGTTTTGTTCACAATAAACACAATTTGTTGCACTTGAAATCGTTGCATTTCACAACTTCCCCACTGCATGTCATCAGCTGTTACATAATAAGCATGCAAAAAAGGGATCAAAACATATAAGCAAATGAAGCATTTCAAAAAAGAACATTTGCATGAAAGTGCAGTGCAAAGATGGAGGAAAATAAACACCTAAATGTGMGTTTTTCATGTTTCAAACTTAAAATAAGAGTTCAAAATAAATATCTACGGACACAACACGTAATGGTTTAAATTKTGTGGACTAAGGATTAAAAGCTCGCATTAAAGTCACTTTCTGAGTGAATATGTTGGACAAACCGATGACAGGGCAGAGGAAGCTGAGCGGTGATATGTCGGACTGAAACTTTGGTTCCGCCCTCCAGCGCAGCTAAAACTCTGCGTCCTTCCTTCGTCCASCACAATGTCTGTCAGCGAGCCACCAGGCTAATGTCACCCGCCTCAGCTGGCGAGCTTCTCCGGGGAGAAAACGGACCTAACAACGAAAACATTTAGCCACAGAGCAGCTCGGTGTTCGTGCTAGCTAGAGGTCGACTTTTAWCCGGGGTGAAAACTTCAGGAAGAGGCGGAAGAATAAATATGTTACGTTAGCTCGAGGAGTTAGCCKCCGTCCATAATCATGTTTAGTTTTAAGTCAGGCAGGCAGACAGACGCGACGCTCAGTGTTTTGATCCGCTATTCTTGAAGTAAACCCGTATCTTGAAGGTGGATGATCTGTATCAACGTCTCCGACCTATCGGTGTAACAAATAAATAAAAAGAACAGAACAGTAAAGCTGAGCGACCCACCTCGTCAACCGTCCGCCTGGGAAGATGCAGCATCCCAAGCAGCAGCTTGAGCTTCACCGGCGGCGATAAGCTCGAAAAGCACAGCCGTATGTTGTCGATTACCGACACGGTGAGGAGSGAGGCGATGCTCGGAGGCGTCCAGAGCTCGTCCGTGGAGCCCAGCTTGTTGTGAAGCCACAGGCCGGTGTCGCTGTCCTTCATCGACGCCATCTTGGAAAAAGAAGTGTTTTGAGTTCGGGCATTTTAACAGGCTACCTAAGAAAACAGCAGTCAGGACCCCGCCCACACAGGAGCGGGGAACCTTTTATCAATAAAAACAAACGAAAAGGAGGTAGTCCTTGCTGTGGGTCTTTTTGTTTTGACAAGTTGCGTTTAAAGGTTTTAAAGATTATCTTTTATCAAWGATATAACACCGTTATGTTCTTTTTACAAACCAGATAAAAGTTTCCAACATTTTGTTTCTTATCAAAGTTCAAATAAAATGCCTTAAAAACGTGAAGGATGTAAAAGTAATAATAAAAATTCTTGAAAATGTAAACAAGTGTAACCTTTCAAATTTGTGAAAGTGAACTTTACCAATAATAAAAAGTTGGATGATGTCAAGCATCTCTGATTATTAAGGTCATTTATACTAAACATTTTAAATGTTAAATATATTATAAAAAATAATTAAATTACAAAAACTTCCAGTTATTGAGAGTTCTTAAACACGTTTCTATAAGATTTTTAAAGAAGTTCCTTTTATTGACAATGCTGACATCTGAGTTTATTTATTTATTTATTCACGTTTGATTTAATCTTCTTTAACCAATTTAACATTTACAAATATACAAATGAAATCTTATCTATGAAACTCAAAATTGGTGACACCTCGATTGAAAATGTGAGGAACCAGAAAGCAAAATTTTGTTTTGTGACCCTGAAAGGAAGAAATGAATACAAGATAATGAATGGATCTTTTTTTTATTAATGGAGTTGATTAAAAATGCTGTATACATTAATACAGTTTCATGTTTGCTGACAATTATATCAAAACTCCATTGCCAAAAGGCAGACAAACGTACAAGATGGGGAAARATGTGCAGTTAAATAGAACTAGATGTATGAAAACCATTAATATTTTAGAGTTGCTGCAATTTACAGAGAGGGGACTGAAATCATTACCTTCAAACTTGGATTTACAGTAGTGAAGACAGAATGAAACTTTTCTGAAACGCGAAGCTTTTCAACACAGTCCTTTTTTTGTGACATCTTGTGGCCAAAATTACAAAGCACAACTTTGATGTATTTGTATTGATGTGGGAGACCAACATCAGTTCCATCCTCAAGAAGGCCCAACAGAGGATTTACTGCCCTGCTCACGCTTCAGGACCTGTACACCACAAGAACCAGGAAACGGGCAGAGAATATCAGACTCCACACACACAGGGCATAGCCTCTTTCAACTTCCATAGAGCCTCATSCTCAAAAACATCCAGACACAAAAACAGCTTCTTCCCCCWGGCCATCTCCCTGATGAACAATCCCAAACACTAGACCTCTTAACTAGAATAATCCACAGACTATAATGTTTATGTCTTATGCCAGTGTTTCCCAAAGTTGGGRTCGGGACCCAAAGTGGGGTCTCGAAACATCAATGTGGGGTCCTGAAAATATTTTCTGAATTAATTACATTTTTGCCTTAGTTGTTACAAAGGAGTGAGGTTAGTGCATTTAAAATGGATTCATGAAGTATAAAAATATTGTTACTATGCCCATGTTTAGTTAACCTGATACAAATGTTTATCATCCAAAAATAGTTGGGGGTACATGTCTCTACTACTGTTATTTTGTGGTTAAAAAGCTGAAAAGTTTGGGAACCACTGCACTTTGGTTCCTAAAGTTGGGCTTGGAACCCAATTATTGGTCATGAAGCACCTTGGATAATCACCAGAAATCAATTTAAAGGGTAACAAAAATATTTGCTAATGTAATATTTTCCCTATAACTATTACAAAAACACACAAAAATTATAAATAAGTATTTGTATTTGTGTACAAGCTGTTTAGGTTGTCAAAAAGCCTGTGTTTTTAGGGTTATTAACAAAGTTCGTGTACTCAGACCAATAATATTTGGGGTCACAAGTTTTTGCCATGGATATTTTGTGGGTCAGAAGATAAAAAGTTTGGGAACCACTGTCTTATGCTGTTGTGCTTCCATCACTGTGTATGTATGTGGATGGACATCATCTACCGGAAACAAATTCCTTCTGTGTCAACATTTTGGCCAATGAAAAGAAGGAGGAGACGCGTTTCCGTTCTCAAATGTGATTGGTTAAAATTAAGCCCTGCCTTTTACGTGAGGACGTACATCGTCTCTGGCCGCCTGCGTGATTACGCACATTCATTTTGGACGCTGGGCGGGAGAAGTTATCCGGGTGTGCTGGAAAACTGCGAGCATTTTAAAAGAAAAACTGTAAGTATTTACTCAAAACCGTACAAATAAAACCGAGAAGAATCAATAAGCCTACTGGGAAAACAGTATTTAGCTGCCGTGGACAGACTAGCCGCGAATAAGCCCGTTAATTGTAGCTAGTAAGCTAGGCGTCGCGAGCTTATTTGACCCAAATAGGCTCGTGACCCAAATTTTCGGTGGCTTATTACAACAAACTGTTCCAAACTTATTTTCATTTTATAAGTATTGAGTTGAAAAGGTTTTGATGACACTATGAAGACACTGACAACTTAAGTGCATCTATTTAACTCAAGGTTAAACGGTAGTTGAGGGAGGATGTGAGACTTGTGCAAACAGTGAATTATTTGATACTCTTTTGCTGCTTTAGATTTTCTTTTTAATCACATCCATCTTAGCGTTGTCCTAACTAATATATCTAAAACATAACTAAAATAGTATATATTTTTAAAAGCATCACATAACTTCTTTGTTTTACACATTGTTTTTTTTACACTTGCTGTCACACTTGACTATTTGCTCATCCAGATGTTTTTGTTAAACGATTACTGTAAAATATAATGTCGTAACGTATATTATTTAAATGTATGTATTGCCTTAGCATTACTGACTGTTTGTTCTTTTATCTTTCAAATATAACACTAATCTGCGCAGCGAAAAGGGAACAAACAGGTGAAACATGTTAAATGGTGCCCATTTTGTGGAGACCCTGGGTCGTCTGGGTTATCCCGGTGCGTCTTCGCTGAAGGGCTCTGAGTTTGATTGGCTGTTTGACTCTGCCCCGGAGAACCTTCATTTCTTGCGCTTTGTCTGTCGCACCCTCAACCGGAGCAACGTTCTTAGCACAGAGGAGGCGGCTGCCTTTCAGGAGCTACGGAAGTCTGGCAAGCCAATTCTGGACGAAGCAGCATTGGGCGAGGTCCTTAAAACCATCGGACCGTCAGATGGGAGCAACGCAAACGTCTCAGGGCCCTTTTCTTCTTCATCCTCCGGGTTTGCACAGGAAGATGACTTGGCCATAGAGGACCTGGAGGCCGAAGTCCAGGCGCTGAGTAAGGAGAAAGAATTGAAGCAACGGCGCTACAACAAGTTGCAGGTTGTGGCCACGTCCCTTGCCGACGTTGACCTGCAGTTCACTGTAGAGCTGGACAGTGAGGCGCGCAAGCTGAAGGAAGCCGGTGCTTTGATCGGAGCTGAGAATGCTGACACCAACACAATGCTACAAGACCTAACCAGTAAGGTGAGCAGACTGGCCTCTTATCTCCCTCAGCCAGAAACCAAGCAGGAAAAAAACTCTGTCGCCCAGTCAAACACCCAAAAGCCTGCTGTCCTCCTCTCTCAGCTCACGTTGGATCCTTACCTGAATCAGGAGGAGCTCAACACCAAAACTCTAGCTGCCTTCACACAAAAGCATTTTTTTCAGGGTATTTCTGACATTGTTGACACGTCTTGCTCTGAGCACTTCAGGGTCCTTGACCTCAGCTCTTGTGATGATGGAGTAGATGAAGCTGAGGGTAAGAGGAGAGAGGGCGTGAATTGTGGTGTTGAGCGCAAGAGGACAGAGATGGGTAGACTTCAGTGGGCACATGTTGTGGCTCAGCATCAGCTGATGCAAGCTATGGCAGAGGAGGAGAGCTTTAAAGCTGGATTAGACTGGCTCTCTGAAAAGGCTTGTCATACTAAGGTAAAGCAAATCTACACAAGATTTTTGTCTGTGTTATGATCACYGTCACTATTCTTACAAAAAAAAAAAACCTTGTATCTTCCACCTTACTGTGTCAGAGCATTTCCACTTCCTCCTTGCTGCACGTACGGGAAGTTGTGTCCAGAAAAGAGCTGCAGGCTGTGGAGGCTGAACTAGAAGCTCTGCTCMATGGACCGGTCCCGGCTGCACTTAGAGAGTCAGCCAGGCTGCTTAACGTTCCCGTCGTCAGAGGGGACCTGGAGCTGCAACTCGCCAGGCAGAACTACTACACATCCAGGCAGGACCAGGTCGGTAGCTGACACCACTGATTACACACTGAGCCTATTTCTGTGGTAAACACATGAAGCTGACGTCACGAGTCTTACAAATTAACTTTCAGGAGATTTAAGATCTCATGTTTGAAAACATTCACTTTTTTTTCTACTTGTATTTTTTTTCTGTTCTGGTCATGGTGTAGCTGGAAGAATCTCCAGCAGTCACTGTTTGAGAAACAGGGGACACCCTGGACAGGTTACAAGTTCATAACAGGGCCACACAGAGAGAAATAAGACACATTACCAATCACTCAAAACTTACATACATCAAGTATACACTTAAGAACAAAAATTGCTAAATCTAGTGGAGTACTGTATAAAGTAAGGGAGTTATTCAATGATAGAGCTCTGTATATGTTGTATAATGCAACAATTGTTCCACACTTGATTTACTGTATTGAAGTCTGGGGGAAAGCATGTAAAACAATTATAAACCGTATTTTTGTTTTACAGAAAAGAGCTGTAAGAATTATTACAAGAAAACACTGCAGTCACACATCAAATAATTTTATCAGTTGAAATGATTGAAATTCTATGAGTTGGTTGATTATAATATTTTACAGGTTATGTGTAAGGTTATAATTTGAAGGAGGTAGAGATGTTTGTGAAACTTGGATTTCAAACTAGTTTGAGGGTACGATGTACTTCCATACAAGGAATAAGACTGTGGAACAATCTGGAGAGTGATGTCAAAAATGTCAGATCAATGTTTATGTTTAAGAGAATGATAAAAGTYACTTTGTTAAAGAAATATGTGTATTCATACGAAATGTTGTTCAACAAGGATTTGAGGTTGTTTTGTTAAGTTTTTCTTGTTWGTAGATTATTGTTTAAAAGTATTAATTTTTGGCAGGAAAAAGGCTCAGATACTATGATTCTTCTTTCTGATGTAAGGGGTCTTAAGATGATTTTTCTTAGAGACTAAATAAAAATTTAAAATTCTTACATATAGCATATTTATGATAATTGTTACAAAATATTTAAAATACCATTGTCATGATATCCTTGTTAGATTAAGAATCCTATTCTTCATAATTTCTTAGACATGGGACAACAAAATGTCTTCCTCAGCTCAGTCTAAAATAAAGATAAAATAGCCTAAAGTTCTATAAATAAATAAGTTTTAGATAGTAGTTTAAGGGACTGAGTTTGAGCCTCACAGTTTCAGGGAAGAAACTGTTCCTCAAGCCTTGTTTCGCCTTCTGCCTGAGGGAAGAGGTGCTGGATGGTTCTGATTGATTCTAATGGACTTATATGAACATTTGACTTTAAAGAGTCATGATCAGAAGTCTCTGGTTTGAGAATTGAAGAAATTTTACCAAAAAAAAAAAAAAAAAAAAAAGACATTGAGCAACTAATTTGTTATGTGACAGTAAAACAGTGAATTGTACGTAACGGTTTTGTCAATCTTTTCATACAGGTCCGTGACTACTTACTCCGTCAAAAAGCCTCCTTTGATCTGATCCTTCTGGCTCAGGAGATGGAGCTGAGAAGGTGGCAGACATGTCAGAAGCAGCTGAGTGGAATCGAGGACAGACTGGTGAAGGAAGGCAAAGCAGCATCTTTAAGGTTCGAGTCTCTTTCACAGCCGGACCTGGCAATAAACCCGAGACCCAATCCCATCATCAGCAGCAAGGATGCTGCTTTCAGCAGGTAGGATGATTGAAACCGTGTGTGCTGAAGGTGTTTGTTGAGAGCAGATGTTTCGATGTGAGGACTACAAATGCTTCGTTGGTCATCAAAGAAAACATGATTGTACATGACTAAAATACTTTTGAACATTTATGTAATTACTAAAGTTTTATTGTGGATAAGTCAATCAGCAGTGTGGTGTTCTTTTCTAAGTGGGTTTAGGATTAAAACTGAAATGTAAAAGCTTTATTTGTGCAGGAATTTTGCAAAAGTAAGCAAAAAAAAWAAATAAATAAAGTTGACTACAGGGGGCTTTGATGTCTGTTTTAGAGTTTTCATAACAGGATTTTTAACTAGTGTCACCACTGTAGAAGCGCATGTTTTATTTATTGACAAAAAGAAGTGCTATAATTATGCTTATGTCAACTCATTTATGTCTTTAGTTAATGAGAGTTTGGAAAACTAAGGATAAATTGTTTACTCAGTCTTATTATTCTGTGTTCTAAACCGACCTTTTCATTATTTTAGTCCTGTCCTCAGCATGTTTTCTACACATTTTCACGCTGACGTGTTTTTTTATACCCACCCGTCTCAGACTGCTCCAGATGCTCGAGCAGGATTCAGGCCACAGCCGGCTGGAACCTTTTCGAACCTACGAAGCTTTGGACCAGGCAGCTCGCAATCTTGTGACCAACCTCCAGCTGGCCCGAGACTCTCTGGCCGGAGCGCGCCGTGAGCAGCACTACACTGTGGCCCGTCTTTGCGGGGACTGCGAGGCACTCCACAGGGCCTCGTACACAGATCTCCAGCAGCTGGTCTTGGGGCCACAGGTATGTCCAACATCCAGTACTGACCAGGAGCTCCTTTGCCCCAATGCACAGGTGGGTGTATTTCTTTTCACACTTCTTTGATCAGCAGTTTAGATGAGTGAGTTGGTTGGATTTTATAATTATTGGTCACAGTTTGGTGAGGGAAGCTGGTAGCACAGTTTTAGTTTTTTGCACATTGTTCTAATGGGTTTCTGTGTCACATATTGGGTTTTTAAAATTCTGCATAATCTTGGTCTTAAAGTGCCTGTGACATGCCTATCCTTCAAATACAAAAAGTCAAAGAAAATATCTTCATATTTAGGAAAATTGGCATAAAATACATGATTTAACGCATTTTGTCACATAACTGGCATGTTTTCTTTTGAACTTGGCTCATCTGAAGTGAAACAGGAAGTGACATCAAAGGAGAACTCTACTCCCTGGTCTTGTTTATTAAAACAATATTTTTTTGAACTCTGACTTTTCTTCATCTCTCTCTTATAGGGACTAAAATTATCTAAAGAAACATCAGAAAAAGCCCTGCTGTCTGTGTTGTTAGCTGTTGTAGCAAAGCTCTGTTTAAATGCAGACATTCCCTTTGACATCACTTCCTGTTACTTCACATACAAATATATCAACAACTGTTCATCTCACTGGTGTGAAATTGTTTTTGCATTATGTTATCCATGTTATCTTTCAAAAAGGGCAATCACATTTATCACAAAATTTTGATGTTACAGGCACTTTAAACTAGCCTGGCCCTTGCCTTCCTACATAGTTCCACTCAATTCTAGTTTCCCTTCACGGCTCCGTCTGGGATTTCTCCCATAGACAAGGATTACTTCAGCAGAATTTCGTTCAGGCCAGTCAGAGAGCAGGAGTTTTGAACGACAATGTGGATTTTCTGCGCAGTGTCTGCTAGTTAGTTTAGCATATGGCAGTGGAGGAAGTGAATGAAGCCAGTCCGTGTTGATAAGGCTTCCAAATTAAATAAAATAAATTAAATTAAATTCAATTTGTCTGACAAAGCAGGAGCTCTCATTTACTGTCGTCTCGTTCGGCTCGGTACTTCTCTCCTCTCAGCAGGGTTGTTTACAGCACACACGATTTCCTATTAGCTTCTTAGCTTAGCCTCCTTCACAGTGGAGCTGGCACACATACGTCACGGCCAACAGATCCAATCGTTTTAAACTTCAGCAGAGGCCACGCCTCCAGCAAGAATCACTTCTCTATAGCCGAGAGTCCAGACCCTCGTACGAAGCAAAGCGAAGAACAAGGGGCTGATTTTAACCAGGCTAGTCTTAAACTAACATAATTGTAAAAAAAAAAAGCTTCTCTGCTAGCTGCTGCTTTTGTTTACATTTGCAAAAAAACATTTTTTTGATTCCATGTAAGCAGTAATGTAAAGTCAAATTAACTATGGTGTCAACAGTGATAAAATATTGAAAAATCTTAGTGTTCACATTACTTTTTACCAGCAGATACTGTTGATCTGTGGCCCTAAACTGTTGTAGTGTTTATTTACTGTTAGCTGCTTCTTCCACCATCTGGACCAATTGTTTTCTGTCTATCTATTGAACATTAATAAGTTCAATGCTTCATATGTGCAGTGCATTCAGAAAATTAAAATTGTGTTACTCTCCTTCCCAGTTACAGCAATAAACAAGTAATCAGCTAAATATAGCACAATCCARTAACATTGTAAATAATCAAAGAATGMCACTAATTGTATAATACAACAAGGACACAGATATGGGTGAATGTGGGACATTGACACAAAAAAATTAGATATGAAGGGGTACTCAGTAGTGCAAAAATAAACATCTTTATGCAAGAGTCATATATTACAACTTTAGTGGTATAGAAGCTTAATGCTGGTAAAAGTGATGTGTGCATACAATTCTTGGAGCTCACAGTTGTGGGAGGAGGTCCAAGAATTGTTTTTTTTAATATATATATTTTTAAATAACAATGATGACTTGATTTGTTTAATGATTAAAGTGATTTGTTGTTGTTTAACATCAGTTTATTTACTTTCTATCTCTGTCCCACTCTGCTTCCACGTCCACAGGAGCTGACGCAGAAGCTCGTGGAAGCTGAGTCTCAGATGCAGAATCTGCAACAGGTGATGCACGAAATCCTGGCAGATGTCAAAGCCAAACGATTCGAGCTGGACCGTAACGCCCTTCTGAGACGGCAGAGGGAACTCTACATCTTCTTCCACCTGGATGCTCGGCTGCTGCAGAAAACAGTGGAAGATCTGGAGAGGAAGACGGCGAACCGAGGGCAGCAGTGAGGCCTAACAACGAGGAGTCCAAGGAGCTCTGACAACCTCTCACTCTTACTTTCACGCCTGTTCTGATAACATTTGTTCTGTATTTGACGTTAAATGCGATTAAGTTTTTCTTAAGTTAGAAATGAACTCGGCTGACTGTGATTTATGGAATTGGGAAAGTGAAATGTGGAGTTTGATTATTTTGTACAGAAGTTCTTAATGTTTGTTTTCTGAAGTTTGAAGATAAATTGTTCACTTGTCTGATAAATAAAATAAAGTTCAAAGTTCAGTCTTTATAAAGTTTTATTTTCTCTACTGTCACATGCTACTTATTTAGTATAAATCTTTTATATTTAATCACTAAACTCAGCTTTCTTTCTGTTCTGTTTAGGTCTTTAATAGATCGAGTCAAAGGTCAGACAGAGCAGGCAGATCATCAGTTAGGGAGGAGATGGAGTACACAGGCCCTCTCTCCCAGGCTGCACTGAAGGTTCTGGCTGKTCTACGTGCCCAAAATCTGGACAAAACCAGAGACAACCAACGTTTCTCCAGTTACCAGAGGCAAAGTCAGTCAGAAACAGACTAATGAACTTTTAAAAATAGTTATTTTCATTATAAGCAGCCAAAATGTCTTGTAATTGTTTAAAACGTGGTCTTGGTAATGTTGCTTTAAACCTTTTGAAAGTCTTTAAAGTTATTATTTACAGTTTAGTTATTGTATCTAACCTTTATTGTGTGCTTTAAAAAAAATTGAGAACAGAAGTAAAAAAAACTTCAACAGATCAATCATCAGAGATGAGATTTACATTATCATGTAGTTGATGACTGTACACCCAAGTATTCATAAAGGATCTCCTTGTTGCTGATCTGCTTTTTATAATTAGTCCTTTTGTGAGTATATGAGTTATGCCTGAATGATTTGTGGAATTTTTTAAGGGGCTTAAAGTAAAACACATCTGATAATGATCCAACTGAAAAATCAATGAAAAAAGGCAGAAAAACTAAAAGACCTTCAGAAAACCTGAGTGAAAATTGATCTTGACCACTTTATAAGATTACAACAATGCCTGGTGCCTTGAAAACAATATTACACAAGAAATGACTCAACAGTTTTGCACAGTACTGTCATGTTCATGTATTTTGGTCTCTTATGTTTGTTAGTGGGGAGGTGTAATTACAACAATGCAGAGTCTGAAGTGGAAAGAAAAGACAGGTACAGTTATTGGTAATGATGAAATGTTGGCTATGCAAAGACATGAAATCACAAGTCTGAATATTTGCTAAAACACCTTTAGTAATCCAATAAAACAGGCTTTGTTCCAACAGAAGATGGCCTTGCTGTGACTCAGCAGCAGAAATATGGAAGCTATTAGATTACTCCTCATTAGCTGTATAAATTAAAGCACAAAGAAAGAAGTTCAACAATAATTGCTATCAGAAATATTACATTTTTTTGTTAAAGACCTGGTAAATGCAAACTTATGACATATACTATATCAACGTTATTTAACAGCATTAAAATTAAATGCCTTATAACAGTCAGCTTGGACAAAATGCCAAAGTATGTCTAAGATTGCTGTTAATTCTTTTCATGTACTTTGATTTAGCCACCAGGTATCATTTTCCTCCTCCAATGAGCTGCCGAGCTCTCAGACATCAGTCTCCCATCAGTACTCTCTGACACCGACCCCCCCTTCATCCCAGCCCTCCTCCTGCTGGTTCCCTCCTCAGACGGCAGCCTATTATTGCCAGACTACCTCTAACAGAATCATCTATGATGGTCCTGCTTACCCGTCCAGCCCCACTCTCTCGTTCTCCCAGCAAAAGAGCCCTGACACACAGGACATGTATTCTGTGTCCCTTCAAATACCTGACAGGCATGCTGAACATCAAGATACACCATGCAGAACGTAAGAGACAAAGAAAAGCTTTGAAATAGACTTGTTTCTTGTAATGATAATCTTTTATTAGTTCATATAATGAAAAAGCAAGGATTTTTAAAATATTTGTGTTTTCCCTCTCAAAGTTCTGGATGTATAGGGTCGTCTTTCATCCCTCACACATTCCCAGACAAAGAAGGCCTCAATGAGATGTTTAAACCTCCAACCAAAGAGCCTAATTCCCACTCTGAAGCTTGTCACACACCATCATCCTGGCCTGAAGTGTGCGAAGAGACAGTTAACACATCAGGAGCACAACGTGAAGACAAAACTTCCTGGAGTGTTGAGCGAAACGAACCAGAAGACGCTTCAAGAAGCAGAATAACGTCGAAACTCTCTGAAAGGATGGCTAGAGAGGCGAACGAGTCTAACAGCCAGCCTCTTAGTGACTTTGTAGTTAAATACATTGATCATACTGTGGCTGAAATAGTGGAAAAGGACCAAACAGAGGGACTAGTGGTCCAGTCCGAACTCCCACAGCTTAAACTGGAGCACAACAAGGATCCTAACATGGACGTCACAGTGGAAGGTGCCATAGACAGTGAAAAAATGGATGTAGGACAGCTTCACTGCTCTGACATCCATCAAAAAGAGAGACAGTGTGAGACAAGTCTGAAAGAAAACACAGAGGCAAGACAAAGAGGAGAGGACAGAGAGGTGCTGGAAGTGGCCCTTAGAGGTGGCGAAGAAAAGGTTAACTCTACTGGTAAGTTGTACATCAGTCAGCTTCCATTCCTTTAATTATTGTTTCAAAATCACTTTTAGTTGTGTATTTAAATTTCAGTTCTTTTGTTTTTGGCAGTATTACACAGAATCTGTCTTTTAAACACCTTTCTTTCATAATAACTCCTTTGTAGTAATACTAAACACCAATATGGGGCGCCAGAGGGCTTTTGTGTTTGTTTTCAACATACTGAAAAAATAAACCATGCAGAACATAATTTGTGTATCCAACTAGTCACCCAAAGAAACAAACAAACCCTCACTTTTTAAATCAACCCTATGCCTTCTGTATGGAGGAGAGCAATTCTTAAAAATGTTTCAGTGTTATTCTGCACTCAGTGAAAGCTGTATAAATTTGATGTGGATGGTTAGTGGATGATTAGTAAAAATGATGTTGAAAACATACTTTATTAAAGTCTTATGCTTTCTTAAATGAAMAACTCAGAAAAAGCATTCAAATACTGCACTTTAAGTCCAGCTCATCTGTTATTCTGCTGAGTGGCAGTGTCAGCAGGTCAGTGCTGAAGTAATGCGTTTGCACGACAGTTTCTGTCTGAGTTGCGGAGACAACGCTGAGTTGACGGTCTCGCACGAACGTGTGCATGTACCGAAGCGCAATTAACAGCATCTACGCCAAACAAGGCTCAGGTAGTGTTGGCTGACCTTGTCCCATCACACACTGCTGATTTGTGCCACGCTCTCACTCAAACCTGCTCAAATAACAAAATGGGATTATTGATTCAGGATGTGTATAAAAAAAGTGATGATCAGACTTTCAAAAATGCTCTCACTCTTTTTTTTTAAATAAAAAAACTCAGATGAAAAGCAGTGTCCCATGCCAAGATCGTCAGAAAATTGTGGAGCAAGACAACCAGGGTTCAAACCTCCCTGTCTGCTTGGCAGCCAGGAGCATCATGACAAAGTGAGTCTCAGGCAAAACAGCATCATTTCTGATTTTTACTGTACAGCGTTAGATTCAAATCAACCTGAACTTTTATTCCTAAACTTTTTGATGTGTTTTTATTTAACTCTGTGTTTTAATCCATCTTTCTGGAGACACTGCATTCTTTCAGGGAAGAGGAAGGGATTATTCCACATACTGACAAATTACTCTAGCTTGCGTGAAATTAGAAATTTTAGGAAGTGACGCAGCACAAAAGATAACACTTCTTCTAAAGTTGTTTGGGCATAAATAGCTCCTTTGATGGGTGAACTACAAAGAGAGGAATTATGGTGGGATGTGTTGATCGATGATGGAAAGAGAGTAAAAAGAGAAAAGGTTAGAAAATACAAGATGCAGGACTTTTACTGCCACAATCAAGGAGGCATTTTCCTCTCCTGATTTTCACTTTCTCATTGTTTTCTTCCCACCATGCATCGCTCAGCTGYGGGCCACGGCCTGCCTCGCTTTTCTATCTATATCCTGTAGCGCAGCACCCCGGGGAGGTTCATGACATTGTCAGCAGGAAAACGGGTTGTGTTTACAGGGAAATGAGAAGGACTCTCCCCAGGGAGCTGAAACACAGGAATTCCTATCCAAAAAGCCCTCTGCTGACAGTCCTGCAAATTTGAACTGAACTGGCCTGTTATTAAAAAAAAATAAACCCAACAATACCAAGTTCCTCATCTCTTACCTGGACTTCAAAGAACATACAGGTAGTTACAGCTTCTCAGGGATGACAATGCATGAACACGATACTTAACTGCACTAACTGTGTATTTTTTATCGTAGACAAAAAAGCACAGAATAAGGGRTTTTATGTTTTGTAAACAGAAGGCATTGGAGTAGATGTGTGTTAGTGCTGAATGTGTGTATGCCAGACACGTAACAGTGTGACCCCGTCCCACCTTCAGGCAAGCTTCTCAGACAGTGTCCCGACTGTCTGTATTTTTGTCTGGAACATGGTGCTTAGAGCCAACTTTCAGATCCTTTACGTCTTGCTTTTTGTCTCTGCTCTTAGTGTTTATGGATTTTTTAGACAGGGTTTCTTGGTAGGACTGCACAAAATATACTTAGCACAAAAAGTAAGGAAATGTGTGTTTAGTAGATTAAGTATTTGTTGTAAAAATGCTTCTTGACAATAAGTCTTATATCGTTGGAAAGCCTGTTAAATTCCCCTTTAAATGGTGCTACATTTGTAAGGAACATAAATTTGTGGGATGAGCAGTGGAGCTGAGTATGTGGGTTGCACACATGAAAAAAAATCCCAAATCTTCTCTGCCAAACAGCTCATATTGCTGTTGCTATTGACGCTTGTTTTGAGCTTTTGGTACCCCCAGGTAATGTAGTCAGGACCACTTAACCCAAGACCAAATCCAGACCAGAGTGAGACCAAGACCAGAGAAGAACGGAAACTAGAGCCCTAAAACATTCAGT